GGAAACATGACATTTTGTCATGTTTCTCGCCGAGTGCATTGTATATTGTACGGGGTAAAAAGGCGATGCAACTTTGCTTTGCACAACACCTCTGATTGCTAGCGTTGTCTTTTTCGCTAACGTATAATCCTGTTTAATTCTCGACTACAAGAAATATGCCGAATGTATTGCAGGTTTAGTGTCCAGTTCAGTCAGAGAGAAAACGCGTTTATTTATCTATATTTCATTTAGTCAAAAACATACAACAGCGTTCGAGTCTTCCTGTTCATTTTGTTCTCTTCAACATCTTACTTCTCTATATCATTTGTGACAACTTCTGAGACGTGCTTATCGAGCCATAACTTGTCTTCTAGCAGCATCATTAAGTCGTCCATCATCAGTTTTTGGAATCTTTTAACCATGGATGGTTTATCTGTCCAAACGTGTGTTACAAATGTTCCTAAACAACCCGAATTGGACGTGGCGAATCCGTTCGCTTCAGAGCAAGGAGCTAAAATTAGCTCAGATCCAATCTTCATTTTATCTCTGAAATACTCGCTAAATGCCCGCTGTTCGTAGCTCCAAGTAACTGCCCATTTTTCACAACCTGGAATATCTCTGACACATCGAGACAAATTTTTTAGTATAGCTTTCGTCAGATTAGTGTTTCGAGCAATTACAAATCCCCAGTTTGCTGTTGCTCGACCTTTACTATCTTGATTATCCGGTCCTCCAGGGTCACTGGCCATTAATATACTGCTTGCTTTTGTGAAATTCCAGCGCTTCATCAGAAACTCTATGTCCATTCGTGGATCGGTAATATATGCGTCTCCATCGAGCAGCACTACAATATCGTAATCCTGAACTACATGATAGAGATGTGTTACTTTAACCCAGGTTCCTTTATGATTGGGAATAAGTGGTGGAATTATTCGTTTATAATCGTAGCCATGTCGAATGGCTGAAACAGAAAGACCGAAACTACATAAATAAGCATTATGACACAGGTATACGACATTAGTTAGAACATTTTTCGTGACACCTTATAGATGTTACGTCGGACCTCAAATTGAACAGATGTGCCGTATATTAACCTTTTCTTATCAACCCTAAAGCTAATTCCACAAAAATGCAGTTTTAATTTCTTCTAACGAGGGAAGTCCACCAACTTGAAAATCGTTTGCGGGCCGAAATCCAGTGGGTCATAGCTTATCGACGGCCCTGAATCCGAATATCAACAGGAGACGGGCTGCTGGGCCTTCAGAGACTGGTTTCTGGA